GGTAACTTAGTAAATCAAAACCCGACTGGACTAATCAGTTAAGTAAGAAAATTATTTATTACATAATAAAATGGGGTAAATACTAATTACTAGCCGGTCACGATAGCCGAGCAGTCTAAGGCATGTACTGTCTTCGCTCGCTTGGAAACCGGGATCGTGTGTTCGAATCCTACTCAGGGCATAGATGTTTAGTTTGTGTGCGTGCGTTTTTCTGTGTTCGTGTACAGATAGAGGCCTTGTGACGAGCTGATCACCCGCCCAAGGAGTCCTACCGAATGTGTAAGATCTAGAAAAAACCGAAGTGAACGGAGAAGTTCATGGAGGTAGGCCTAGGCCCATTGGGGCTGTAGTGCCAAGGAAAAAAATACTAATTACTAAGCAACTAGTTTACCTGCTCACAAACTAACTAACCAACCAAGGTAGTGATTTGGGTTAATTAACTAAGAAAACGATCAAAACAAACAAGCCATCCATCCAGTTAATTTGATGAATTAACTAGTATAATATTTAACAACTTCTTAATAAATTAACTAACGAGCAAGGTGAGTGAACTAATTACCTAACGCACTAACTAGACATCCTGTTAACGAATAAGTTAATTAATTAATTATACTCTTGTTAACTAATTCGCTGATTAACCAAGAATCTAACAGATTAACTGATAGATTAATCGACGTTGTGATGCAGGCTCTTCTTTGAGCAGTCGCTAATTAATCAGCAGGTCAAGAAAGTTTCCGCCTTTAGGATTCTGAATTGCCGTAACCTTAGAGCAATCTCAAGAAACGGGACCTGCAACACACGGACCGCCACGTGACAGTTACCTGTGGCCGCGGGCGAAGAGCTGCAGTGTTTCAATGTCGCGCATGTGAATGGTTCCCAAAATGGTTTGTGCTTACCTTGACTCAGGAATTCTTAACCTGCGTGTGTACGAGCGCAGTGATGTTAGTGTTGACCTCTGAAGAATAGACACGTGGACAAACGAAACAGGAAGTAACCTGCACATCCGTTCGAACTGCATCACTCTAATGCTGAACTAAGTAGAAGTGAAGTCGGTGGTGGTTATGTGGAACGAATATTTTTTTTTTAATTTTATCATTAAGTTTATAAGAAACATTCTATTTTAGCAAAATAGATTATGGATAATATTATATTTGAGCACCACATCTGTGGTCTATTAGTCAGAGTTCCTGGATACAGACCCAAAGTTCCCGGGTTTGATTCCCGATGCTACCAAATTTTCTGAGGAATATTGTGTCTGGAACGGGGTCCAATCAGCCTCGGGAGGATAACTGAGGAGCTATTTCAAGAAAATAGAAACACCGGTCTAGAAAACCGAGATTAACGGCCGTGGGGATCCGTTGCGCTGACCACGCGACACTTTCTATCCGCTAAAGTTGGTACTAATTTCACCGACAAACGGCGATCGCTCGATCGGTACAGTTCGCTTGCGGACTACAGGCCATGTAGGTTTTTATTATATTTGAGCCTCCTGTTGCATTGATTATCGCTCACTCATTCACCTCCGTATTTAATGCAACTTGAAACTGTTCACAATCTCTCTCTTAATTTGAAATTACATTAAAATAGCTGCATGCTTCAGCCTTACGTGGCAATCTTCAGGCAACTGTTCGCCTTTTGAACCCGTCGCACTGCACTAGATCTTAAGCCAAATATTTCCAAGTTTTGCATTACCCTTCTCCATTCCGCATTGTTGTGCTCCCTTGCATGGATACACACGGGATATAGCCCCACTACTGAGAACATACGTTGAAGGGGGTCAAATATGGGCGGCGCAAGAGGAAAAGGAAAAATGCGGATATCCACTATATACCATATATTTGGCGGATAGAAAATGTTACCATTTAGTTCTAGAAGATTCAGTCAAGGTGATAGAACCATACCTTCTGATGCAGACGAACTGTCACCAAGTAATCAAGAAAACGAGTCATGGCGGTATAACCATTACATCCGGTGTGGAGGAAATACCACTACCTAATTCAAGAAACCGAGTTATGGCTGTATAACCATTACATCCGGTGTGAGGGAAATGTCACTACCTAATTCAAGAAACCTGAGCCATGGCTGTATAACCATTACATCCGGTGTGGGGGAAATGCCACTACCTAATTCAAGAAACCGAGTTATGGCTGTATAACCATTACGTCCGGTGTGGAGGGAATATCACTGCCTAATTCAAGAAACCGAGTTATGGCTGTATAACCATTACGTCCGGTGTGGAGGGAATATCACTGCCTAATTCAAGAAACCGAGTTATGGCGGTATAACCATTACATCCGGTGTGAGGGAAATGTCACTACCTAATTCAAGAAACCGAGTCATGGCTGTATAACCATTACGTCCGGTGTGGAGGGAATATCACTGCCTAATTCAAGAAACCGAGTCATGGAGGTATAACCATTACATCCGGTGTGGGGGAAATGTCACTACCTAATTCAAGAAAACGAGTCATGGCGGTATAACCATTACATCCGGTGTGGAGGAAATATCACTACCTAATTCAAGAATGTTATATTTTAGCGTCCTGTTGCACTGATTTAAGTCCATGATTTATTTTATCCGTCTTCCAGTGCATACATTCATCTATCCCCTCTTCTCACTCGCACTACATGTTTCGGCACAAAAGTGCCATCTTCAGGTGCTGATCCAATCCACGACAAACTAGTTCATTGCATGCCTTGTCTATACATACTAAAATAACTAAAATATATATTTATCATATATACTGATAAATGTTAAGTGTTAAAATATTAAAATTGTACAGGATATTTCATTCCTACGTCGTGTTTCATTACGCGAGTCACATCTATCATCTTCTGTTGGAGCACTCTTTCACTATCGTGTATTGTGCTCTGTGTTGCGTCTTGCTCCTGTAACTGCGTGTGTGTGATAACACAATATACCATCAGAGCATATTGCTTAATTAAATAATTAATACAGGGATAAATTTACATTTACCTACATTTTATGTGATGTATTCTGACCTATTTGCTCAAAGCAAAAACTGTGGAGCCAGAGAAGCTGATGTTGCTTACGAACGGCTCTGTAACAACATTCGTTTGTAGGCAACGGCCGCGAGACAGAGAACCGAACGTCATCCGTTCCTAGGCAGCAGATTCTTAATAAATAAGTATAGACGGTCGCTGCTAATGAATGGCTCGTTAAATACGTTTCTGCGAAAACGGTTAGCATGCGAGAATGAACTGTGTTTTCTGTGCGTTCCGTGACGAGGGGATATAAGGAAGATAACTGGGGCAACGAAGTTAGTTCTGTACAGGAGTCTGTGAAGAAAAGAGATTGTAAGAAGGGAGAAGCCATTCAGAGAGGACTTTAGCGCGGAAGCTGAAGAATGCGTTACCAGGGAACAGCTAGTGAAGACACGGCTGGCTGAAATAAACTTAGCGTGTGCTGTGGTAACTTGTAAATTTTGGAGATCAGCGACGGCACTGTAGTTCCGAGTTTTGCATACAAGTGGTCAATAAATCAAATATCTAATCGAAAACCCCGTATATGGCCACACTCAGACAAGTGTCAGTATCTTACTTTTAGTAGGAGACGTTTTGAAGGAATTTATGGAGTTTATTTTGAGCTTCATATAAATAACTATTCATATCGGATTCCTATAATATAATACGAAATTTCGTTGAAATCTTCTTGGGTGATCAATCATGCCAATGTGGAGTCGGTGTCCGACCTTTCGGAGGCTGTCTATGTCTCCATCATCATGGGTTGATGGAAAGGGAGACAGTCTCTGTAACGATCGCCCGAGATGACTTCATTATATTCTGTCGCCGAGAAAGCTGCAACTGTTGTGCTCTGTGAACTTTATTCTATAACACAGATCGTACATCATAAAGAGGAACTTTTTTTATTGCTAGTGGGGTGAGACTAAGTCCCTTGTACTGCGGCCACTTCTGGCCTGTTGTACCAGCCCCAGATGATATGTGAGGGTGATTGTGGAGTAATTGGTGGAATGAAGATTGGCAGGGAAAACCGAAGTACTCGGAGAAAACCTGCCCCAGCGCCACTTTGTCCACCAGAAATCCCACTTGACTAGAACCGGGATCGAACCCGGGCCGCCTCGGTTGGAAACCAGCGACTAACCGCTTGAGCTATGGCGCGGTCTAAGAGGAACTTAATGTGAAACGCGTCAAATATTCGGAAGGGAACTTAACGTTCCCTTTACCTTGCAGTAATAGCTTGTGGTACCTCAGCATCTTTCAGTGAGGAATGGAGAGTATCAGAAGGATAAGATATAGTGGGAGTTATATTGTGTTTAATGATTTATTAATCATGTCACATACCAAATAATTTATTTAAAACAGTCCATTACACAAATATTCACCGAGTGTTAGAATAAAAAATGCAGTCTTATTCCTGTATCTTTCAATACATTCTGATAATTCTCTTACCGAGAAATAATTTGGCATAGGATTCTCTGGGGCTGCTGGACTTCTGGCGCCCCAGAAGGTATCTCATTATATTTGTATCTCTTTATCCTCCAAAGTTCTGTTTTTTTTTATTTTGCATTGCGTAAAGTTTAGGATAATGAAATAGAAAACTATAGAATAAAATACAAACAAATTGTAACGTAGTGACAATTAAAACGACAAAAATCGCAGACACGTGTTACTGACCTCAAAATTAATTTGGTATATACGAAAACTATACCCAATGTGAATAATTTACATAACTAAAAAATTTCCGACAGAAATGTAAATTTAATTTTTTATTATATTTCAATTATGGATACTGTTATTTAAAAATATGTGGTAGAAAGCTCTATAAATTTTTACATTTAATGCAAGGCAAGGTTTAGCTTCCCATCCTTCCCGCAGGAAATTATTTTGTCGTCAGCATTTCTTCAGTTAGAGAACATAGACACATGTATCAAGCACGAAGACATATTCATTGCTTTTTGAAGTGCACAATAAATATAACTTAATTTGTGCAATATGTATTTACTCTATAAATAATTCGGTTTAGCCATAATGATGACCTCCAGCTTGAGCATGCGCAGCGAAGTGGGCTGCCTTGGCCGCAGCAACTTCGGGGGTGTCAGCAGGGACCCCATTCACAATAGCGGGGGCTCCAGCATAATGTCCTGCATAGCCACCAGCATAATGGCCACCATAAGGACCTTGACGATATTGTCCGTCATCATAATGGCCACCATAAAGTCCTTCATGGTACTGTCCATCATCATAAAGTCCGCCGTGATATTGTCCCTCATCATGTCCACCGTAATATTGTCCATCATCATAATGTCCGCCATGATATTGTCCATCATCATGTCCACCATTATACTGCCCATCATCATAATGTCCACCATATTGTCCTTCATGGTATTGCCCATCATCATGACCGCCATAAACTCCACCATAATGGCCACCATAACCACCATGGCCTGGTGCAGCTGCCGCAGCGGCTGCGGCGCCGTAAGCTGCAAAGTGGGCGGATTTAGCGGCGGCCACTTCCGGTGTGTCGTGGACGGGCAGGGGTGCGGCGTGGGGAACTCCGGCAGCGTAGGGGTAGCCGTAGTATCCGGGACGGGCGTACACCGTACTGACAACCACGAGGCAGAAGAACGTCAGCTGAAACATGCATAAGTCTTACAGCAGTGCAGAACAAATGTCAACAGTTCAGGGCCTCCCTTTGTTATGCAAATATTGCGTAGCACATTGTCCAGTGTCCGGGGCATATAGGTAATATTTTTGTAATTAAAAAGCATTAACACAAGCCCTTGCAGTAATGAATTATTTAATTTATTTGAGAGGAATGTAAACAATTAAAACTGAAAACAGAAAAGCGAGAATATGAGTTTAGTGGTTACGTATCTGTCTTGCATTCGGGAATCCCATATGGAGCACTGGCTGTCCTGGCTGACCTATTTCATAGCTTCTGTCAGTTATTCCTTACCCGTGTGGAGGCGGGTTTGAATACCTCCACCGTGACCCTGCGAGTCGTAGGAGGGGACGAAAAGGGAAGTCTCAAAATTTGAGACAGTAAAATATGGTATCGAGTACCAAGGGACTCGGACCCGAGAGAGACTGCACTGGCAAGGACCAGCAGCATGTATAAAAGACAGGCCCGTCCTCTCGTCAGAGAGTGCGCCCACAAAATACAAGACCGTAATTGTCAAACAGTAATAAAGATCTGGTCGCAAGCCCCATATGGGTGCTTTATGCCAAGACAGAGTGGCCGACTGACCGTCGGTAGTAGCACGAGACTCGGACTCAGACTCCGTAATTCCAGGCGAATTTCAAGATGGCATCTTGAAATAATTTAGGCTACTTCCTTCGTAAACCGGTTACGGTTCGCTGGGTTCGAAACACACTTAGGGCATGGATGTTTAGTGTTTGTGTGTATGTGCGTTTTTCTGTATTTGTGTACTTGCGACGACCTGATCTCCCGCCCAAGGAGTCCTACTGAATGTCTAAGATCTAATAAACCGAAGAGAAACGGAAAGTTTCATGGAGGTAGGCCAAGCCCCAAATTGGGACTGTAGCGCCAAAGGGAAAAACGAACTTCCTTCGTAATCCTTTCCGATTCATTGTCATAATTAACTTTAATTTCCTTCTACTATATCTTTACAGCGTGGGTATGTAAGACTGGAAGCCTATACTCCAGAATGAAGAAGGTGTGTTTCCGAATTTATTACTAGATATCTTTTATCTCCGATACGTCCACACGATCCTTTATTGCAGATACGTATCCGCCGTTGAGAAGCTCTGTGGAACCGCAAGATTATTTTCCACCGTATTTTAAAAATAAACGCGGGAAATTTTAGAGATATAAATATTATGTCAAATACAAATTATGTATTCTGTGGGTGATGTGTATAAACTGTTATTGAGTTCGGTGTAAAGTAAAAAGAGTAAAGCTATCCCTGTAACAGGCCATGGAGGTCCATAGGGTTGTGAGATGTCAAGGCTGCAATTTTTTTCTTTTAAATCGACTCACAGATTGCTGTGAGGTCGTCAGCCTTACGCGCCGGCTGCCCTTTACCCCCCCCCCCGGGAAGATTCCTGGCACGCATTTCTGTTAGAGGCTGAGTCGACCCCAAGGCCATAATGCGGATTGAAGGATTAGGTCAATTGAAAATTCAGTTTCCTCATTTGGAATCGAACCAATGACCTTTCGACTTGTAGCATAGTACCTCAAATTAAGTAGTTACTATAGGATTCTGACGATGGTGTATAACACACTTATATATTGGATTTTTGGACTTTATCCATCGTCCTGGTTTTTAAGATAACAAATAAAAACACGACGTTTCGGAAACTGGATCTGTTTCCGTCCTCAGGTGAAGGAAAGCACCTATTCTGTTGGGTCCATTAGAACGTGTTTTTATTTGTTATCTTAAAAACCAGGACGATGGATAAAGTACAAAAATCCAATATATCACCTCAAATTAAGTTGGGTGTAAGATCACTTATTCGTTCTGTAGTTTTTGTATTAGCGTATATATTTTTTTTGTATTGTCTATCTGTTGTAATTAATAAATATAATGTCAGCCGTCAAAGAAGCTACACATAATAAAATAATTTCTCACTGAACTAAATCCATAGAGCTGAGTCCTTCTTTGAAAGCCGCCATCCGCTCAGTTACTGAAGAATTTCCAAATATTTTGTGGAACGCGAAGGTTCATTACCGTGTTCACAAGAACCTTCCACTGGATTCTGTCCTGTGCCAGATTTATTTCGTCCATACCACCCCATTCTATTTTTCTAAGATCCATTTTAATATTATCCTTCCACCTACCCTAGGACTTTCTAGTGGTCACTTTCCTTCTGGCTTTCCAACGAATACCTTATGCATTACTTTTCGCTCCGATATGTGAAATCTCTCATTCGTTCATTACTGATTATTACATGCTCAATACCAAAGGCATGTACTTACTTATGGAACTGAGCAATTCTTGAAGAAAAGCCAAATCTGCAGCTACTCAAGAATTTCCCAGCGTTTTATGGAACCCGAATGTTCATTACAGTGTTCACAAGAGCCCTCCACTGGTCCCAGAGCCAGATCAATCCAATCCATACCATCCCATCCTATCTATCTAAGATCCATTTCAATATTATCCACCCACCTACGCCTTGGTCTTCCCAATGGTCTCCTTCCTTCTGGCTCTCCTACCAGTATCCTATATGCATTCCTCTTCTCCCCCATTCGTGCTACATGCCCTTCCCACCTCATCCTTTTTGACTTGATAATTCTAATTATACTTGGAGAAGCGTACAAGTTATGAAGCTCCTCATTATGCAGTTTTCTCCAACCTCCTGTCACTTCATACCTAATTCTTATATGAAAAATATTTTATTACTAGTTTTTTCTGCGGAACTGTCTTACCTGAAGACTTTTACCCATCGTGGAATGTTATTTGTTCAAGCAGAGCTGCTAATATCCTCACAGTGTCGTTGTGAACTCTATTCTGACTCCTATTATAGACTCCCTTTTATACTTACTGAGAGCAATATCACAAAGCCATTATGTCCTTCGCTTTCATTTCTTTAAAAACGCTTTAAGAAGTTATTTCTTTGCAATTCCTCCGTCATAAGACACACCTTCACCTTCTGTTTCTCATTTCACGGTCCCGCTATACAGAAAGCATGTACCCACAGACCGAGGGACCTGAATGCCACGCAAGTGCCACTGTTTTCTGCACTGGCAACGAATGAATTGGAGAGAGTAGAAATGCTTGCAATATTTTAGTCGGCATCTACAAAAGGAGAAGTTGTCTCGGAAATTCTAAGCTTAGATCAGAGGATAATATTACAAGACTTTCTGGAAGAGATTAATCATCCAGTTTTTGTACGACACGGACCGCATGCAAAACAATAAAGGGTGGGACATAGACACAGACAGCAAAACGATCTCATGAACCTCAAAAGCGTAAAAATTAGGAGGGATATACAGACAGACGGACAGACAGCAAGGTGATCTGACAAGCCTTCTTTCATTTTTTCCCCCAAAATTAGGAAGATAAGCTAAATGGGCATTCACTAAGTTGGGTTCGAAGATGTACGAGTAGACTGGATCAAATAGGGACCAGTGGTGGGCTCCTATGAACATGGTAACAAACATTCGAATTCCATAAAGGGCAGAAAATATCTTGAGTAGCTGAGCGACTATTAGTTTCTCAAGGACTTTGCTTCTTGCATTTAGTAGTATTAGTTTGATATATGAGGAGGGGCACGCGGTACCGTAGTTGGTTGAGGCACTGTGATACAAGCCGGAAGGTCGCAGTTTCGATTTTTGATGAGGTCACTGGATTTTTTTCAATTAACCTAATCCTTCCAGCCGCGCTGTGGCCTTGTGGTCGACTCAGCCTCTAACAGAAATGAGTGCCAGGAATCTTCCTGGGGGTAACGGGCTGTCGGCTCGTAAGACTGACAACCTTACCGCCATCTATGACCCGATTGTCTAGAAAATGTGAGAGCCTCGACGTCTCACAGACATATGGACATCCACGGCCTGTTTTAGGGATAGTTTTACTTTTTCTGCTTTTGATACGATAAATGAAGATCTAGTATGAGGATTCTTGAGCTGAATTTCTTCTGTATTTCCGCGTGCTTCATTTTCTAATGCATTGAATTAATATTGAAGAACTTTTATATGATATTGGTTTGGGGTTTATTTAAGAGATGTGTCTGAACTGAACACATTCGAATCGTGTGAACACGGTACGTAGAATAGAAATATTAAGATGTGACCNAAACGTCATTTAACACCACATCTACACGGTGCCACATCCCAGAAGACTGCTTTCTTCATGGGTACTTCCCGATTGCAATTATAGAGCGTTACCACTCGTGTAGTAATTGTTAGGCAGGTTAGAAATTTGTGGCAAATGTTGGCTGGACTTGAAATGTAATATGGTACAGCACACCGTGATAAAAGAAACTGAACTAGCTGTGGCATGTATCAATGAATTTGAACGTAATATTTAGTTTTAAACTTTTATAAAAATTTATGATTCATATTTTAAATAATTTATTTTTACATATGTGACTGGAGAAACCTCCCTTAATGTGGTACACTCCCTGTAATAGATCATATAAAAACGAACAACTTGTTATTTCAGATTTAAGAAATGTTAATAAAAATCTCAAATAACTCATTAATATTGCGTGTACTGTATTATGGATAGACAGTTCCCAATACTTTAACGAGACAGACTACAAGATAAATTAATTTCAGGCCCTGTGGTTTGGACAATTTACGGTACTACTAAATAAATGATAATCATGAATTATAACCGATAATTTTACAGAATTATAATTGGGGAGCTTCACAGTGTGTACAGCTTCTGTTAGGACTGTGTTCATTAAAAATACAAGACGTGAATTATTTTCAAAATTTCACTCTTTTTATTCAAAATAGTCTCCTTCTGAATCAGTACATAGCTGGAATCGATTGAAAAGTTTTCGAAAACAGTTACTGTACTCCTTTTGTGGAATTGCATTTAAAACTGCGGTAGATTCCCGTTGGATGATCTGGACGGTCTCCTTTCAACATCATTTCAAGGAAATAGCGGCTCCGGTCTAGAAACTCGAAATTAACGGCTTTGGGGATTCGTTACGCTGAACATGCGACACCTTCTATCTGTCAAATTTGGAACGAACTTCGCAGACAAGCGGCGGTCTCTCTATCGGTATAGTTCGCTTGCGGACTAAAACCACGGAGTTTTTTGTTTTGTTAATTATACATAATTACCTAAATCAGCGGTAAATGCGATAAATCTCTTGTAATAATCAATTTTACCGGTAATTATGAATAACAATGACCGGTAGTAATTCGTATCTACCGGTAAAGTTGAGTATTTTCGCGAGTTTTACCCGATTTACCATTGTTCAGGTAATTCTGTATAAGTACGCGTTGTTGAATAATGCCGTCTTCTGGGATGTGGTGCCGTGAAAACCTCAAATCTTACGTGTTATTATTCATAATTAGGGTTTATTAACAATTACCATAATATGAGTCGGGATACTTCAGTTGGTATAGCAACGGACTATGGGCATGACGACCCCGGTATGGTTCGCGGCATGACAGGATTTTTCTCTTCTCCACAGCGTCCATACCGTCCCTGGGGCTCACCCAGCTTCCTATCCACTGGGTATCAGGAAAATTTTTCCCCCGAGAGTTAAGCGGCCGGGGCTGAGGTCAAGAATGGTGGAGTTATACCCCCACTCCCCTATATTTCTTCATGGAATAGCCCTTAATTAATTACGCTTAAGGATAACGACCAGCTTTGCGGAGACAAATTTATACCTGCACTAAACGAACATCAAGGGCAGTGAAGAATTAGGAATTTTAAAGAAAGCATTTGGAAAATTCCCCTTTTTATCTTATCTATAATTAAACTAAGCAAAGATGACGGCCGGAAGATCGGAGAATCGATTTCCGTTGAGGTTATTGGATTTTCATTTGATCTGATTCTTCCAGCCGCACTATGGCCCTGGAGTCGACTCAACCTCTAACAGAAATGAGTACCAGGAATCTTCCTGGAGGTAAAGGGCGGCCGACGCGTAAGCCTGACTTCACCGCCATCTGTAAACCGATTGTCTAGAAAATGTGGGAACCTGGACGTCTCACAACCCTACGGGCCTCCACAGTCTGTTGGAGGGATAGCTTTACCTTAACTAATATATGTTGTGTGTCTACTTTCGGAAGCAATGAAGCTCGGCATAGAAGAACATAAAACTCTGATTTTTTCGGATATGAATTTTTCGCAGTACGGTCCGCTGAACGTCAACCGGCATTTTGGAGGAACATATCGCTTCCATCTTCAGGGCGTAATAATAAACGAAGCAAAAAACCAGTAGGGCAAACGTCGATTGACTTTCACCGGACTACACGGCGTTATATCCCAGTATTCTTCCTAGTTTTGCCATTTGTTTTGTATGGTTGTGAAATGTGGTCTCTTGCTTTCGGGAAAAAACCAAAAGGGTTTAAAAACAAAGTGCATGGGAAGATATTGTCACTTGTATGAGTGACTGTAGACGGGTTTGTATTGGTGACTCGATTTATTGACCACTTACACACACCACTCTGAATTACAAGTAATGATAACAGTCTCTCTGGTTAACACACTCTAAAGATCACTGTAACTGCAGCACACATAAAGACTTGTATGTCATCACTTATGATTGCCTTTGCTAACGTTCTTACCGACAACTCACTCATTGCTCCAACTGTCCCGGTTATAGTATCTCGGCACGGCCTTAGTAGAAAACAGTTTCTCATTGTTGTAGTTCAATTGCTGCTTGTTAAGAATTTGTTGCCTAGCAGCGGGCGTTATTTCGTTGTTTGTTTCGCGGTCTTTGCCTAGCAACGGTCTGTATGCCACAATGTTTTAAACCGTTAAAGATGAATAACGTAAGAAATTTAGGATATTACAAAATGAGCAGTTAGTTGTTATTTTTAACTTTTTGTTGTGGAGATAAGGAAATCATGGAGGTTACGGTGCTTAGGGCATGAATAAGGGAGAAACGAAATATGTATAAATGTATATGTAAGTTTGGCAGGGAAATGCCATAAAGCTGCCACTTAAGTTTCGGCCACACAGAGCGCTACGCTATGTTCGCTACGTACGTTATGTACGCTGTGTACACTCTGCGACGCAGCTGACATAGGGAACATAGCGTACGTAGCGTACGGAAGTCTGTGTGGTCAGCCACATTGACAATAAAGGGAGATATTTTTCTGTTCGTATAGCGAACATAGCGTACGTAGCGTGCGTCGCGTACATAGCGCTCTGTGTGGCCGAACCTTTAGAGGATCGAAAAAGGGAATGCAGAATAACATTGTGACGAGTTATAGGGAAAGAAGTTGCGAGTGTAAGATGAAAATGAAACCTCAGTATTCTATCCAGTGTTCGACTTTTTTATTACTGGTCCTGAAATTTTGATATTAATAACAAAAACAGCCCTTACATAGTTGGTTAATTTATTATACGATGTTTAATTTTAATCCGGTCTAGAAAACCAAAATTAACGGCCGTGAGGATTCATTGCGCTGACCACACGACACCCTCTATCCGCAAAAGTTGGCACTAAGTTCGCCCACAAGCGGCTGTCGCTCGGTCGGTATCGTTCGCTTGCGGACTAAAACCACTGAGTTTGTTTGTTTTTTTGTTTAGTAACATTCAGCTGAATATAACTGCAAATAAAGGACAAGATAGAAGGATGGTAGTACAGGAATTACAAACACTCTCTTAAGACAAACACAAGTTATAAAAGTAATTTTTATTTCGAAGACGTAACTTCAAAATTTACATAATTATTTAACTATGATGCACCAGTTATACCAATGATTGGCAGTATTTTTATTACAGCATATTTTATTGTCCGTCCTTTTAGACATGGCCGTAATCCTAGAATGAGTATGGATTTAGCCGAGTAAGAACTGAAGTGTGTGGATGGTTTAACCAAACAAAATGTACCATCCTCCTTCAATACAGCTGCAATTAGCACTATTTCTCCTCACGAGTAACCCAGAAGCCAGGTCAAAAGCACGGTCCATACATGATTACAAAATACGATATATATAAGTAATACAGGTAAAGTTGTCCCTGTGCTTAACTTAAGCAGTACGCCATGAAGGTATATTGGGGAGTAGATGTATAGTTCCACATTTTCATTTCTTCTGCACTAGCTGGATGTGAGTCATCCATATATAATACAGTTTGAAATAATTATATTTTATATGCTGGGAATATTTTTTTAATATTTTAACATTGCTTTATCTTTACTTTTTTTATATATTTTCATATTGCATTTGAAAGGATCAGAGGTAATACAAACGCGTAATTTTGGAAGGAGAAATATAGACTTGTGGATGTACTAGATATATAAATAATAGCATAGCGTTGGAAAATGAGCGTGTTACACAGTACGAAAACAGGTCCATATACAAATTCGAAAACAGTGAAAGACAAGCGATCACAGCGAGGCGTTAGAGTAAATCTCAATAAATAACGTTCATTTATTTTAACGAGAGTCAGGCTAGCAGCATGTCGGTTCTACTTAACCGTAGTAATGCCCTCCGGCGTGAGCATGCGCAGCGAGGTGTGCTGCCCTAGCCGCAGCGACCGCAGGAGTGTCAGCAGGGACGCCGTTCACGATGACAGGCACGCCAGCGAGAGGACCGACATACCCACCAGTGGAGTGGCCTTCACGATATTGTCCATTATCACCGTACAGCTCTCCCCTATATTGGCCGTCATCATGGGGTCCGCCATAACCGCCATAAGCACCATAAGCTCCAGTGTCTGGCGCGGCTGCTGCAGCGGCAGCTGCGGCTCCGTAGGCAGCGAAGTGGGCGGCCTTAGCCGCAGCGACCTCGGGGGTGTCGTGGACTGGCAGAGGTGCGGCGTGGGGAACCCCCGCAGCGTAGGGGTAGCCGGGACCAAAGTATCCTGGACGGGCATTCACCACACTGACAGCTGCGAGGCAGAAGAACAGGATCTGAAAGAAAGGAATTTCCACTCTTGGTTTATTTGCATGCTCATTAATGATGTTATTAAAGTGGAAGGATTGTCGCACACATTTCTTTTTGTTTTTTGCCATCACTAGTAGGATGTATTTAGTACTTTTTATTACACTTTGATGTATAACGACAGGTAACATGGTCTATTTAAATCAAGCTTTTTGTTTAACATTCGATTCCCACAACTGCAAGATTTCCCTCTTCTCAAAAGCGTCCAGACCGGTTCTGGGGCTCTCACCAGCCTCCTATCCAATGGGTACCGGGGACATATCCCCCGTGGTAAAGCGGCCTGGGCGTGACATGTATCTAGTGACGAGGTCAAGAATGGTGGAGCTATACCTCCACTCGACCATGCATCTTCATGGGAACAATGCACAGGAACAATTTATTATTATTATTATTATTATTATTATTATTATTACGCGTTTTCCTGTTTTGTCTTCTGCTTGTGTTTGTTTTGTTTGTCTGTTTGCCCCAGCTTAATTTAAAATTGGCGTTGGGCTACTGAGTAAACGTGAAAATAAACGAACTACTAAATTGAAATTAATTATCATATGAATGGCGCTAATAAATACTATATTAAGCTCTTAATTTCCCACCTTTTATGGAACCCAGGGATACATTACCGTGTCCCCAAAATGTCACCACTGTTCCTTAAATTAAGTCAGTTGAATCAAATCCACACCCTCCCATCCTGTTATTTTAATGAAACTGACTTCCTTAAGTTGCAAAGATGACGCTCCCAACTTATGAACTGAGAATGTGATAATGTGCTGCCTGGCCAGGGCTATCGCACACCTCAGGGGACGCTGGTACATGAGTATGGAGCAATAGCAGGATAATGATTACCACGGGAAATCCGAAAGGAATCGGATAAAGACCTTCTCCATTGCTACCTTATCTACCATGAATCGCACATAAATTCAGCCGGGACTAAACCCGAGACTGTTTAGTATTATCCTCCCATCTTTACCTAGGTCTTTCAAGAGGTCATTTTGCATTAGGATTTCGGACCAAACTTTTATTCCCCAGTAATACGATTATATAACTACGGCTTACCTGTAGTTTCTTGTTCATTGTTTTGCTGGTTCAGCAAATGATCTACACAGCCTTCTGGAAATGTACAGTGCCTCAACTCGACGCTTGCTTTATATAATTCCACATAATCATGCCATGGAATCGATCTGTCCTTCGTTTTCTTTCATCTGAATAAAAATCGTTCAGAACTATTTCTCTATCACACGTGAGCCCTGAGACACACCTTCTTCAGTAGGTTCACCTTCTTGCAACCCGCCCAGCGTGAAACAAGTGATCTTGCCTCTGATCTCTACACCAGGAAATGGCGGAACTGCAGTTCCCTTCTCCTCACTGCAGTTCCACGTCAGGTCGACAATTGTTCAAGTAAAGTGACCCCTAACAAAGCAACTGCTTATTCGCTTCAGATTTGTGGATTGCCGAATTTATAGTTGAATAAAACGTGTCAACATTTGAAAGTTAGTCATGTAGTATTGCCAGGCTAGTTAGAGCTAGGATTGGTGATTGGCTGATCATAGAGTTCGCGTGGGAGGGACAAGGAATTTCTACAGACGTATGTGGGAAAATTTCTTGTGAACAAATATTTGGAACTATAGGAATGGAAGGGGAAACTGTTTTTAAAGAAATAGGTTATAGGGGTGTATATTTGATGCAATTGGCCTAAGGTGATATCTGGTGGCGGGCTTTGGTATTAGCGATGTTGAACTTTCGAGTTCTGTTACCAAAATTAGTTAACTAATAAGATGGATCTTAAGGAAATGTGACGTTGGGAGGTGGATGGTACTGGCTCAGGATCATGTCCAGTGACGGGCTTTGGTATTGGTGATGTTGAACCTTCGAGTTCTGTTACCAAAATTAGTTAATTAATAAGATGGATCTTAGGGAAATATGTTGTGAGGACGGGAGGTGGATGGTACTGGCTCAGGATCGTGTCCAGTGACGGGCTTTGGTATTAGCAGTGTTGAACCTTCGGGTTCTGCTACCAAATATATTGTATTTTATTTAGCTTGATCAACACATCAAGAAATAAATTGGACTCCAATCAAAACTAGAGTTTAAAGATGCAATTTTCTGCGTAAGTAACTTCAAAGTGTGTTATTTGAAATTTGACATGGTACTTTTGCGTTTATGTTCATTTGCCATTGTTGACACAAAGGTCATAACACTGGAGATACAACAACACGTCACAATATAAATTATATTTGTTCGGATATCATTGAATGTTAGCTTTATCAAGACATGTTTCAAAGCAAAAGTCGTGCCAAAGAATGAAACCGTATCAAAAGGGGCAACTGCACTGTGATGACGCGAGACCTGAGGTTCACTCAACTGTGACTATATGAAACACTATCTTCTGGGATGTTACGCCGTGTAGTCAGATAAATGCGTACTGATGTTAGGAATATACTGCCTCCATCTTCAGCGTCGAAAAAATCCAAGCAAGTAACAAGGGCTCTGCTTCCTACTTCCTATGAAGTTCAAAGTAGTATGTCTTCGAAACGTCGATAAACATATACCGAACTACGCGGCATAGGATCCAAGAAGATGGTATTTTAATTAAGCTGGTTCAAGTTAAGGTGAATTTTGAACATGGTGTTGTATATTCAGTTTTTATAACGGCGATAAATTTCTTCACTGCCTGAGCAACTGTCAGATGCTTAAAGCATTCTCTGTATTACTTATTTAATTGGTTACTTAGTGCGTTTATTTAGTTGGTTTAATAATCAGACAGATATTGGTCTCTTAATTACATAGTTTGTGAATTAATCAGTTTAAAATATTTATTTGCTTATTTGATTGCGTAATCAATTTATTGACTGTTCTATCAGTTGGTTGATTAGTTAATACGTTCCTTAGTTAGTTGATTATATATTAAATTGTGTGTTTGATTACCTGATTAATCTGTGCCCTAGTTATATATTTAGGCAGTAGTCGTTTAATTTATTATGAAAATAGTCATTTATATTAGTTGCTTATTTAGCAAATTAATCAGTCGGTTAATTAGTTATCACGAAATATTTAATTTAGTATTCTGCAAAATGTTCCGTGAAATCGGGAGACTTTCCTCTTTGACTTGCAGCATCTTTGATCCTTTAAATAGCCCAAAATATATAGTAGATTTTAGAGCCGTTACTTGGTAACGACCTCGAAACAACATCTGTTGCTAGGCAGTAGATTCTTATAAAGCAAGTATACGCAGCTGTTACTGAGAAAACAAACATGTTCTCACGGAAATGATTGGATTACAATAATGAACGCTGTTTACTAAGCGGTTCATGTCGAGATATTATAAGGAGGACAATTAGTGCAACAGTTCAGAGGCAGTTGTAGTGGAGTCTGTGAAGAGAAGTTTCAGTCGGTTCATTTGAGAGCCAGCGAGTAATGAAATAAGCGTGGAAACTGAAGAACCTCCACTGTTAGAAGCCATTACAAGGAAACGACTGGTAAAGACACAGCAGAATGAAAAGGCTTAGTGCGTGCTGTAGAGATTTATAAAGTGTTGAGGTCAGCGATTTCGCTATAATTAAGTGTAGTCACGAGTCGTGTGTTAAAGCGGCCAATAAATCCAATCAACGGCCCAAACCCCGCCCAAAGTCACACTCCTCATGGCAATATAGTGTCGATGGCTGTATGATTAGTGGAAAGCATGTGAAATGAAATATCCACGGTGAAATGTGAGGTCCTTTCCCTGCGTTTACCCGAAGGAAAGAACGCCAGTCAGAGCATCCTGTCTTCTGGCTGAGATTTGAACCCGGTCCGTCCAGAACACGAAGCGGGCGTGATATTGACTTCACCGCGACGCGAGAGGTCTGTGGTGTCAACGGGTCCTGCTTACATTATGTGCAACAAGGAAGAAAGGATATTCATGTGCGCAATTCTCTGTCCAGGCATTTCAATGCCATATTGAAACCCGTTTGTTACAGTTTCCTTTTGAAGTCACTTATAATTATGCAGTAAGCATGTATAAAACACAATGCATATTCGTATATACTGGACATTTCATTCGTCACAAGTCACGTGCTGCTATCTCGTGACGTGCTTCGTTTATCTTAAATGTCTTCGGTTTAAAAGATTTCCAAAGCAGAGAGAAATAACGAAAGTTGTGGGTAGAACTTACGGCATTTATTCTTTTCAAATGCTTCAGTCTGTGTGGGGACCGCCTGTGTGGTCTAGTGGTGGTCCCAGGTTCGATTCCCGGCGCTACCAGATTTTTCTGAGAAATAGTGGGTCTGGAACGGGGTCCACTCAGTCTCGTGAGGATAATTAAGGAGCTACTCGAATAGAAAAATTAGCTGCTCAGGTCTAGAAAACCGAAATTAACGGTCGTGGGGATTCGTTGTGCTGACCACGCGACACCCTCTATCCGCTAAAGTTGGCACTAAATTCGTCGACAAGCGGCAGTCGCTCAGTCGGTATAGTTCGCTTGCGGGCTAAAGCAACAGAGTTCGGTCTGTATGGTGAGGCTAGCAATAAATACATTACCCTGTCTCTCTATGCAATAAAACTGTAATGTTGCTGCGTGAGATTATAACATGTATTTTTTCTCCACATAAATGTCGCCTGAACACGGCCCCATAGAGACGAAATATGTAGTAGCATTGTAATAATGCATATATTGTAATAGCATTGAAATAATACATATATTTTAACATTTTAATAGTTTTATATAACATCTTAACGACCATTGTGTGATATTAAACTGTGAACTGTGTTGCGGTGTAGACGGATCAGTTAACAGGCTATAAGTGGAAACTCAATGCAACAGCATGCTCAAATATAATATCCCAAGAAGAACTCGGGTCCATTGAGGTAGATCTCCATAGACATAACTTTCTACCCTGAGTATAGAGGCAGAAAATTGGTCCGAAATTTCAGTAAACACTCAGAGCACTACTGGATGTCGTAACACACAAAACTACGACCTAAATTGTGAACAAACGCGACAAAATTTTTGAATACTCTTGTGTAATTCATCAAGAATGTAGGGTAAACTTTTTCTAATTTCGTGGCACGACACTCAAAATTCACCACGAAGACGTTTAGGCGAGTGGAGGTAAAAAAGTAAGTAAAGTAAAGTAAAGTAAAGGTTTTCCTGTAACAGGCCATAGAGGCCCATAGTGTTGTGAGACGTCGAGGCTCCCGAATTTTCTAGACAGTCGGTTCATAGATGGTGGTAAGATTGTCGGCCTTACGCGCCGGCCTCTCTTTACCCCCAAGAATATTCCTGGTATTCATTTCTGTTAGAGGCTGAGTCGACCCCAGGGTCATATTGGGGCTGGAAGGATTAGATAAATCGGAAAGAAGAAAATCCACCTCATCAGAATTCGATCCCGCGACCTTCCGGCTTGTAGCATAGTTAGGGGAGTGGAGGCATAGCTCCATATATTCTTAATATAACATTTAATGGAGGTGATGCCCCTGCCGATTTAACATCAGGCAAAGAGCCCCTGATACGCTTTCAAAAGGTGGCTGGATCGGTTCCAGAACTTGTCTAAAAATGATGAAGAAGATAAAATATTGTCTCTTCGAGGAGTCGAACCTCGGTTTCGTAGCCTAGACACTACACCGAGTGACGGTTCATGGCTGTTATTTGTGTGCCGCTCCTAAATTAATTAATCCGTGGAGAGAATTTCAAGCTCACGCGATAATGACAGCGTCTGAGTACAATGGAACCGTTAACGCTGCACCGAAGGTCAGCATATAAATATCGCGTTGCATTCTTTGGCTGACCACGGCGAGGGAAGGTGCCATTTTTTAGACCAAGGTCCTACACCTGCAACAACAAAAAATCGAGCATCCATTGAAATGAAATGCTTTGTAGTAATTAATTCGTTTGCTCATAAGAAGGCCATGGTATTGTTTAAATTTTGGACATGGGATTTGAGTTTCTCATAGCGATGAATGTGAAGAATTTTATCTTTTGCGATGTGACGTCATGTAGTTTGAGAAATGTTTATCGACGTTTCGAAGTAACGTATTGTTTCCATCTTCAGTGTTTAAGAATAAGACAAGTATCCAGAAAGTTTCGAGCTTTGCGCCTTGTTTATTTATTGCTTTCGCTTAGTCTTCGACCCTGAAGATAGGAGTATTACGTTTCTCCGAAACGTCGTCGAACTTCTACCGGACTTCGCCCCTTCACATCCTAGAAAACAGTACTTTGTTATTATTTTGGGCTCTGCCCATCATCCGGTTTTATTAAAACCAATACGTTTCGGAAATCAGTTCTATTTCTGTCTTCACGTGAACAGAAAAATTCTATTCTGTTTGAGGCCCTTAGTATAGCTACTCCTGAATCTAGGACCATGGAAACTGGCTCTACAGCAGCACCCAGCATGTTTCCTTCTGTACCCTGTTCACCAGAAGATGGGCATAGAACATTGAGGTTTTAATAAACTCGGAAAACTGACAAAGTACAAACATAATTGTCATGCGGTCGTCAAAAAACTTTAATTTAAGGTGCACAGTGCCAGCAAATGCGGAAGAAAATTTGTGGGTGAAATAACAAAGCCAGTATCATGAGAAGCTTACAGTGGGAACTCGTTATTACTCCTATTTCCGCTTTCCTTCGAATGCTTAACCTGTATAGTGAGACAAAATGAGATATTCCATGGTTTTCCTCAGCCCCTCTAGACATATTGCAGAATAGTACTTCAAATTGGACAGCAACCCCTTCCATCCACGTCGTTTCTAATGCATTATCCAACAATCGTCCTGTTGCAATTACTGAAAATGTGGTGAAGTAATAAATAAATAAGGAAATAAATATAAACAAAAAATTTTGTAAGGATAAAAGGCAATATGAAATAATAATTATTTTTTACGAATTATTGGATTCTGTGTAAGTTCAGTTAATTCACATACATCTTACGTCAAATTTGTTAGTTATTCGCACCGACGCCATATTTTTATTTATAAAAAATGCAGATTATTCTACACTTTGATTATGTAGACATTCATTTCATACAATCTATTTCCATCTACAGTGCAAGAGGATGCTTAAATATAATGTGTAGACACGTTCATGATGTATCTCCATATAAAATTACAGTGGTTCAATGGGTAGAGTACCTTAAAGGTAGTGGTGGGGGGCAGTAGGTTTTTCTGGATCGTTGTATTTACCAGACTACACTGCATCATATCCCGGTAGACAGACGCGAGAGTCTCAAATATCGAATAAGCTACGTCTGTCAACTTTTATTATTATAAAACAAGCAGTTGATGCAGCGGCGTGTTGGCACTGATCCGTAGAGAGCAACAAAGCTTGAGTCCTTCATAGTTGCTGCTGATGTTGAAAGTGGATGTAAGGAAGTGAAACTGCACTATCTTGTCTGTCAAAGGGGCGGCGTGAGGCCGGTCAGTGGTGAGAATTGAGTGAGTGTTACGGACTATAGTCCATCTACTATTGGAAAGGTGATGCGTCCTCTTCATTCGGTGACGTAGTTCATTACGTCATCGTTACAAAGCAACTGCATTCTGCTGAAAACATACGGTACTTCCGCTATTCACGCGCCGGTGGGAGACTCAAGCATAATTAGAGAGGACTTTCATTTCTGAGGTGTGACGTCACCTGGTTCGTAGAGCAAAGGAACTACAGGGGATGTACAAAAATATGGAAACACCCAACAAAAAACACATTACCGTGACTAATATGGTGTAGGACAACCTCTGTCTTGCAGTCTCCTTGGAATGGATAAATAGAGGTCCTGTATGATTTGCAAGGGAATCTTGTACCATTCTTCCTGAAAAACATGTTAAGTTCTGTTCTCGATGATGGAGGTGGATAGCGCGCACGCAGATTTCTCTCCAAAACAGACCACAAAGGCTCAATAATATTGATAACTGGCGATTGTTGGGGCCATGGCAGACGTGACACTTCATCTTCGTTCTCAGAAAACCAGTCCTGGACGATGTGAGCTATGTGAACACAGGCATTGTTGGCTTGGTAAATGGCATCACCATTAGGGAACAAAGTTTGCACCATGGGATGGACCTGGTCGCCCAAAATGGTCACATAGTCGTTGGCACTGACGTGACCTTGCAGG